GCCTATTTTTCATTCAATATTCTTTTTGCTTTCAAGAACACCATTTGTTCTCAATTGTATTCATTCTTGAGTATTATTTCTTTGTTCTAGAATTGTGCAAACATCTTACCTTGTGAGTTTTTCTGTAAGTTTGCGAAATTTGTATTCTTCTCTTTGGGAGATAGTGTTCTAAAGAACAAATTAGTAAATTTGTTGGAAAATCCTTAGTGTTGATAGCTAAGGTAGTGGACGTAGACTTTGGTTGAGAAAATCAAACCACTCTAAATCGTTGTGCAAATATTTTCTATTTTTTGCAAAAGCTTCCACCAAAATTTTAATTGCCAATTCACCCCCTCTTGGCTATTTCGTCGATCGATTAACTCAACAAATTGCTTTGTAAGTATAACAAGTCAATGATTATCACATTTTTCATTTAAAAATTGAAGTTTAAGAGAAGTGACCAGTACAATTTTCATTTGTTAACTAAGATAATAATTAACATTTGCAATTTAGCATCACTTAAGTAGTTAAGTTACTGTGACTATTAATTACCATTTTTTTATGTCTTTCTCATTATTTGTATACATTAATTACAACTTTTTATTTAAGTTTAGGAGAAATGAATGTCCATTACAGTTTTTATTTGTTTGCGAAGATATTAATTGATGTCTTTATCATTATTTGTATAGGAAATGTCTAATTTGGGAGAGAATTCCATACATTCACATCTCCTACTTTTAACTCTTCACAACTACCAACCAAGGGAAGTCCAACACCAAGTTCTGAAGGAAATTCAGTTCCTACATTAAGTCAACCTAATGTTGTGGTTAAAAATAATGTGTCAAGCGAATGGACTTCATCAAAGCTAAAGTCTATGGTATGGGAGCACTTTAAAAATAAAAAGATCAACAATGAGTGGAAGGCAATATGTAACCATTACAAAAAACAATTCAATGGTGAATCTAATAATGGGATAAGTCACTTGTGTGATCATTTGAAAAGATGCAACAAATGAGTTCAAATAGACATTTAGCAACAAGTCTTAGTAGTTAATAAAAAGAAGTCAGATGGAAAATTGACAATAGTGGATCATTCACAGTTTAAAAAGTAATATTTTAGTCTACAACTTATGTTTGAAATGCCTTATCTCAAGACTATAAAACTTGATATTTTGGACATGTACAAAGAGGAGAAGGTAAAATTATTGCCAAAGTTGGAGCCTAATGAAGAAAGAATTTCTATAACAACTACATGAACTTCAGATCACCAAAACAAAGGATATATGGTTGTTACTGCTCATTACATTGATAACTCTTGGAGTTTACAAAAGCGCATTATAAGGTATTTGTTTAAATATATTTATATATTTATTTATGTTTCGATATGTTTGAAACTAATTCATTTTATTTATTGCTTAATTAGGTTCGAATATGTACTATTTCTACATACCACTAATGTCATTGCTTCTAGTTTGATGAAATGTTTCCTAGATTGGAATAGTGATAGGAAACTCAAATCTATTACAGTTGATAACTGTAGTGTGAATGATGGTGTCATTAAGTTGTTGGTTGATAGGAAGGGATATAATACATTGTTGCTTAACATAACTTTTTTTCACATGCGTTCTTGTGCACATATATTGCATTTGATTGTTAAAAATGGATTAAATGTGATTGGAGATGGTATAGAAAGAATATGTCATAGTGTTCTTTTTTTTAGTGCTACTCCAAAAAGGTGGGAAAGATTTAAAGAGGCGTCATGAAAATTACATATTTCAACTATAAAAAAGTTATGTTGTTAAAACACGATGGAATTCTACCTTTTTGATGCTCCAAACAGTTTTATCTTATAATGGTGTTTTTGCTCATTTTGTGCAATTACATCGTGATCCTTTGTACAAGTACTTGCCAACTGATGGTGATTGGGTTTTGCATCAATGGTTTATGATAAACTGAAGTTATTCTATGAGATCACTAAAGGTTTTTTAATTACAAAATATACGACATCAAATCTTTATTTTTTGAGTATTTGTAGGATTATGATGGTATTGAATGAGTGGATTACACATAGTAATATAATTATTTCGAGAATGGAAAAATGCATGTTGGAGAAATTTGAGAAATATTGGAACGACATGAATGGTATCATGGTTGTTGCCACACTTTTAGACCAAGGTACAAAACAACATTGTTGGAGTATTACTTTAAAATATTTATAGGGTTACTGTTGAACATGAAGTTGAAATAATTGTGCAACTATGTCGGATTTGGTCACAGAGTATGAAGAAAGAATGATGTCCTTAAAGAATGAACCTCAACCCTTTAACGGTGTATATTTGGATAGTGTTCGAGTTGATTTGGGTAACACGAGTGATTTTGATGCTTATATTTCAAGGAATAGACAAAAGAAACCAAAATTTAAATCTGAGTTAGACCGTTTCTTAGAAGTGGATGTTATTTCTAGGACGCCAAACTTTGATATATTGACTTGGTGGAAGACAATCAGGCCACAATTTCTTATATTGCAAGCTATTGCAAAAAATATTTATGCCATTCTGGTTTCTAGTGTTGATTTGGAGTCTACTTTTAGTACCAGAGGGAAATTGGTGAATGCACAATGTAATAGACTTTATCTATCAAATGTAGAAGCTTTGGCATGTTGTCAAAATTGTTATGGGTCGAAGAATATATAAACATATTTATCATGTAATTTTAATTATTTTACTTATATGTTTTGTCATTATTTCTTATTAGATTTTATTTTCATCTACGATGTTTTAGAATCAAACTCAAATGAAGAAACTTTATGAAGATGATGAAATCGAACAAGATGAGATAATAGTAAGTAATAATTTCATATTTATTACTTTTATATAATCTTATTTTTAAATATTAATTTATAATTTTATTTTATAGGATTTAAGTGTTTAGCTAAGATTGAAGAATGTGAACTTGTGAAGCCGATGATAATCGAAGATTTTTTTCATCGGATATCTGTATTTATGTCTCGTTTTATTATAATTATGTTTGAACTTTGAATTTATTTAAGTATAATATGAATTTGTAATTTTAATTGTGAACATGCATTTTAATTATGGGTTGAAGTTGAGAGATGTATGTTGCATGATGTTTTTCTTTAGGGGATTGTTTCCTGAGTTGAATTATAGTTAATCCTTTTGCATATTTATCCTTTGAATTGAACTTATTTAAGCTTAATTTTTGTTGCATATTTTGTTTGTGTTGTATGTTGCTTTTATTATAATCTGTTTTTTTTTTGTTTTATTAATTAATTTTACACTTTTACTTTACTTTTTCCAATTTATTTGTAAAAGAGTTCAATTTTTTATTATAATTTATTTGATTTCTTGTATTTTCATTTTTTAAATATGTTTTTAATGAAAAATTAATTCAAATCTGATCATGTTGAATTTTTAAGTTATATATCAAGTCAATCAAATTTCAGATGGATGAGTCATTTTTAGAGAAAATAACCTCAGTGACCAAAAATGCCTTATAATATACGATTTTAACCAACCTTTTTTGGATTTGTCAAAATGACCAACTAAATCGCAATGCGATCGATAATTCGCAACGCGATCTCCGGTATCGCAAATCAGTTTCCAGATTCGCAACGCGAACTTCGACTATCGCATTGCGATTTACATATTCGCATTGCGATAGTCCAAGTTCGCGTTGCGATTTATTCCAAGTTCGTTGAGATAGTCGAAGTTCGCGTTGCGATTTATTCCAAATTCGTTGCGATAGTCCAAGTTCGCGTTGCGATTTATTCCAAGTTCGTTGCGATAGTCCAAAATCGCAACGACGATATTGCATTTGTTTCTTAAGAATTTTCTCTAAAAAGATAGTATTCGTGCGGACGTGTCGAAGACACATATTACCACGACCCCGACCCCGACCCCGACCCGAGACGAGACGAGACGGACGGCGGCGGCGGCGGCGGCGCACGAGAGTCCCCCTTGTTCTCTATCACTCAACAAGAAAGTGGGAAAGCTAAGCCTTAAATACCATTCCCAATAGTGTTTCCAATACTATGTGGGATTGAGCATTACCAACACTTGTTCCCAATACTATGTGGGATTGAGCCTTAAATAGTGATATTATTTTTGAATGTTTTGCTTAAAATTGCAATAATCACGATTGATTGTAGATTGACATTTAATTATGACATATTTAATCGTATAATACTAATGCAATTGGTTGCTGATTAGTTGTTTTAAGGTGCATGATTGTTAATTGTTTCCTGAATAATCACATTGTATTAGAAACAAGTGTTGGTAATGCTCAATCCCACATAGTATTGGAAACACTATTGGGAATGGTATTTAAGGCTTGGCTTTCCCACTTCCTTCTTGAGTGATAGAGAACAAGGGGAACTCTCGCGCGACGACGGCCGCCGCCGTCGTCCGTCTCGTCTCGTCTCGTCGTCGGTCGTGGTCGTGGTAATACGTGTATTCGACACGTCCGCGCGAACACTATCTTTTTAGAGAAAATTCTTAAGAAACAAATGCAGTACTACCAGCCGTTGTGATTTTGGACTATTCGACTATCGCAATGCGAACTTGGACTATCGCAATGCGAATATGTAAATCGCAATGCGATAGTCGACTATCGCAACGCGAACTTCGACTATCGCATTGCGATTTACATATTCGCATTGCGATAGTCCAAGTTCGCGTTGCGATAGTCGAAGTTCGCTTTGCGAATCTGGAAACTAATTTACGATACCGGAGAGCGCGTTGCGAATTTTCGATCGCATTGCGATTTAGTTGGTCATTTTGACAAATCCAAAAAAAAAGGTTAAAATCATATATTATAAGTATTTTTGGTCAATGAGGTTATTTTCTCTCATTTTTATCGAATCAGATCGGATGAATAAAAAATTCAACCCAAGTCGACTGATATCATCTCTAATGATAATAGTAAAGAATAGTAAAAGCGAACGGCTCTTGATCACACACATCTACGAAACCCGTATAAAACTTAAAATAAAACCGCTTATGGTCACAGTCCGATCATTTATCTTCCCTTGATCGAAAATCATCCAAATATCGCCTTCAACAGTTTCTCTGATCAGTTCATCAAAAGATCAAATCCAGATCCTTGCGAAAATGAACGACGCAGATGTGTCCAAGCAGATCCAGCAGATGGTGAGATTCATCCGCCAAGAGGCAGAGGAAAAGGCTAACGAGATCTCAGTTTCTGCTGAAGAGGTTCTTCAATTTTCTCTATTTTATTCCCCCCTTTATTTTTTTTTGAATTTTTGGATACTCCGTTAAATTGATGGTTGAACGATGTGTATTTTAGGAGTTCAACATCGAGAAGCTTCAATTGGTGGAGGCGGAGAAGAAGAAGATCAGGCAGGAGTACGAGAAGAAGGAGAAGCAAGTAGAAATTCGGAAGAAAATGTAAATCGATATGTTTTAGAATTTAATTTAGTTTCCCTTTTTCTGCTGTATAAATGTCAATTTTAAGTTCAATTTATTTGTCGTACTGGATTTTTATCTTTTACTGGATATTAAGTTGAATTCAAACTGAGTCTAATATTTCTACTTAAATACAAGTAAATTATTAACCTTAATTATAGTTATCGGAAATTAGTCAGATTTCAAGATGCACTAATTCAGTTACTAATGAACCTTAATGTGATTTGGTTGAAAAATTATTGAACATTGTAGAAGTTTGATTATCTTGGATATTGAGAAATGAGTTTTGTTTATTTTCATGCAGAATTGGCACATAGGAGTAATTAGTGAGGAATATACCGGCGCTTTTGTGAAAAAAGATTAAGCTTTGTCCTTTTATTGCAGTGAGTATTCAATGCAGCTTAATGCATCTAGGATCAAGGTACTTCAGGCTCAAGATGATGTGGTTAATGAGATGAAAGAATCAGCATCCAAGGACCTTCTGAATGCAAGCCATGATCACCATGTGTACAATAGGCTTTTGCAAGATCTAATTGTTCAGGTCAGTGTATAGCAAGATCATTAACCCTTTCTTGAAAATATTTGAAAGTTGCAACATTAGATAAACTCTTGAGAGTTCTTTTATTTGAATAACGTTTATTACAGAGTTTGGTGCGACTGAAAGAGCCTGCTGTCCTACTCCGTTGTCGCAAAGAGGATTTGCACTTGGTGGAGTCTGTTCTGGATTCAGCGAAGGAGGAATACGCTTCTAAAGTGAATGTTGATCCACCTGAGATATTCATTGATGATGTCCATCTTCCTCCTGGTTCTTCTCATCATCATGGTTTTTTTCATCTTCATCACCATGCTGAAGCTCATGGACCTTTCTGGTAAATAGATTAGTTTTACGCAAATGCAAATATTAAATGTCCCTAGTCATTCAATGCTTTGGCAAGGATTATTAATCCTTTGGACCAACCTTTCTTCTTTTAGATTTTGAGGGGAGATATTATTTGATATATTATGATTTGTTTTGCTCAACTTTGTAATCAAGTGTCGACTTGTATGCTTGTGCTTACTGTGGAAAATATTAGTGATCCATAAATGATTTTCGAACTGGTATTTTGATTAGGTTACTACCTGTTTCGTTATCTTCTCTTTGATGCACCCCCTTCCCCTACAAGAAAGAAGAAAAAGAACAAAGATGTAATGCTAATACGTTTTTTCTTTGAAATTTTGCAGCTCTGGAGGTGTAGTCATAGCATCTCGAGATGGGAAAATTGTGTGTGAGAACACCTTGGATGCACGGTTAGATGTTGCATTCAATAAGAAACTCCCAGAGGTGGGTTTTGATAGTTTCTAAGAAACATTTAGATTATTTCTAACTTGTTTCCCTTAGCTATATTAATTTCACCTACAGTACCTTCGTTATCCATGCCTTCATAGCCTGGATGGAGAGATTGTTTCTCTAATTAACTATTAATTGCAATAATTATTGTACTGCATGATGAGTCCGAAAATGTAAATAGCCAGTGCAGAGTGCATAGACTGCTGGTATATGTATCTTTATTTCTTGTTTGCACGCTTGTTGGCATAGCCATATGATGGAGTGCATCATTTTATTTAATGGATTGTGCATTTCAACTGCATTCCGCTGATAGGAAAGTTGAAGGTTTTGTAATTCTGATAATGTCTAGCTTAATTTTGACAGCCAACTTTCCCTGTTTCTCATATTAGTTTCATTTCGCTGTAATTGCAGATCCGTAAGTGGCTTTTCGGTCAGGTTGCTGCTTGAAGGTTAAGAGTGTATTGTTTTCTCAGCCAGCTTTTGTGATCATCCATAGAGCAGAGTGTTGAAATTCGTTCCGTTTATTGTTTCCTCATATTGTTCTTCCCGGATAATTTGTTTGCTAAAAGTCGCTGAAACTGTTCTTTAATTGCTGCGTACATCATTTTGAGGGACGGAGTACTCTTTTTTTTTTTTTTACATATTTATATAAATAATGAATAAAATATGATGTGTTTGCTTATACACTTTTCTCTATACCTTAAGTAACAACTCTGCCTGTTGCCGCAAAACTCGACTAAAAAAAGTGATTTTTTATTCGATCCAACTTGAAAAAATTCAATTTGAATTGACTTCGAGTTAATTTCTTAAAAGTACGAAGGAATATATATGTATTGTGTATGGTTATAGAAAATTATTTAAATTGGAATCCTATGGTATTATAATATTATAAATATTTACAATTAAATTGAAATTGAAATTCGAGCAAGTTGATTTGACTCGAATTTTATAAACTCGATTCGATTAGAATTTTTTTTAAAATAAAATTTGAATTATAAAATATGACTCGAATAATTCAAAAAAGTTTTACTCAACTAACGGCTCGCTTCTAGTTACCAAGGCCTCGAACATGCATAAATGGAAAAGGGATGACGATCCAATCTGATTCAATCCGCTGAGCCATGTAGGATGCAGGTGGGCAGGCTTTGTTAACCTTCAATTTGATTAAACCGCAATTTCGAAACTTCAACTTGATCACCTTGCTTACTTGAAATATGATCTAATTGAATTTAATGAGTGTTCTCAATGATAATATGGAATTATTTTTCTTAGAGGATCCGAGTTTGAATAATTATAGCACATGGAATCCAACTCACTATAGGTAGAGACCTTGTGTTCCATTACCTTGAAGCCCTCACTCGACAAGCTAATGTTACCAAGCTCGGGGAACAAAGGGGTGATAGGAATATATAAAAATAATTATAGTTACTCCTTAGAACAAAAAACACAGAATATCACAATAAAATGGAATCAAATAGTAGTGAGGATTATTTGAAGATATACTGATCTTTCTATTATATCTTTACTTCAAAAATTATAGCATAGTATGATATATTTATAGTCTAACACTAAAGAACTGTCACTATTCAAAACAAACTCCACCGGGCCTTTTCTGCTAAAATTTCTTAATCTGACCTACATAATATAAATTATTTGACAAAAAATAAAAATACTTAATAACTTTATTTATGTCGCACTAAAGTTTTGACACTCCCCCTTAACACTTATTGCATGTTTACAATTAACAACACCAAATACAACTTTAAACTCTTCAAACTTTAGCTTCCCTGATGCTTTTATGAAAATGTATGCCACTTGATTGGTTGTAGAGATTCTTTGTAGCTCAATTTTTTGACTTAGCATCTTCTTTAAAAATGTAGTTTCGTAACCGGTTTTCACCCATGCACGAAATTTCTTGGCGAAAAGTAAGGTGGATAATTAAATGGTTTTTATTGAAATGTGTTGGGAGTCGCCATCGGCCTTTTGGGTTAGGTAGGTCGAATACCTAAAAAATCATCTTTTAAAAGAGTTTTTAAGAAAACATCAGTTAAAAGATAAACGGTCTGCGTTTAACTAAAAATTCATTTTTTAATAATAAAAAGGGATTCGTGGTCGGTTACGTTTGGGAAGGATTAACACCCCCACAACTCCCAAAATTGGTCATTGTCGATTATAAATTGTCTCTAATATTAAAATTTAAGAATTCAAATATAAATTTAATTTATGATCCTATTATTTCATTTTTAATCGGATAATTCTAAGAAAAATAATTTTTATAAATTATAAATAAAATATTTATTTATTTAAAACATCAGAAAATGATATCTAGTTACTTTAAGACTGTACTTTCTTAATATTTGAAAAATAAATAAATATTAAAAATAATATTTTTCCTAAGAAAATTATTTAATTAAAACAATATATATATATATATATATATATTGGTTTTTATAAGCAATATATTTATTTATTTAAAATATCAGAGTATGACATCTAGTTATATTAAGACTGCCCTTTCTTTGATTAAAAATAAATAAATACTATTACTTTGTGAAATTCATCAAATAATATTTAATAATCTTTCATATGCATATATCTATATATATTAGCATGACTAAAATAATAATTATAATTAAAGTAAAATACTAATTTAAACATATATAAAAAAGTACTATAAAAAATAGAATAAAATTGAATAAAATGACCAAAATAAAATGAATTAAAAACTTATAGTATTAAAATATAAATTATCTAAATTAATGAACATAACTCGAAATATTATAAAAATATAATTAATAACAGTGTAATTATCCCTTAATTATTAATCAGTGATTAAAATAATAATTATTAAAATTAAAGACTCTAACTCGAATAATAAAAAAATCTGAGTGCTAATAATGTAATTTAGCCTTAATTAATTAATTCGGGTTAAAATATAAATTAATAAAATTAAAGGTCTAAAATGAGTATTTACCCTAAATATTATATAAATAAGGTTAATGACTAAATTATAAATTAAATAAAATTGAAAATTGATTTAAAACATATATAAATTAGTTTCAGTGACCAAATTGTAAAGATACAAATATAGAGAGGCTGCAGAGAGGGGTTTACCTTTGAGGGTAATTATAGAAATACCCCTCACTAAACGGCGTCGTTTTGGTGAGGGTACATATTCCCTTTAAACCGACTTATATCCTTCATTCTTCTCATTTTTTCATTTTCTTCTCTCTCTCTAGATGAGAGATTTTTTTCCTCTCATATCTCTCTCTAATCCTCCGCCCGGAGGGAGTCTGGGGACCGGCTGACCACCTTGCTCCGACGTCGGCAGCCACCGCCGACCACCACTGTAACCCCCAGCCTGTACCCAACCGTATACGAGTCTGAAGTGTCACATTGACTTTTCAAACTTTGACACTTAAAGAAAAATAGGGAATTTTTAAACTTTCATTAAAACAAAATATGTTAATTTACATAAAAGAGACCACAAAATGCAAAATTTATCAAAGCATTCATAATTAACAACTTATTACATGTCAACACTCTATACACAACCCAAAATACCTACTTTGTCATTACTTCTGATTTGATCTATTAGTAGTAATGTTGTCCTTGCCACTTCTATTCCTGCTCCTCTTGTTTCTTGATACCTACGTGTAAATCACTTACACGCTAAGTTAGACTTAGTGAGACATAATCAAATATGGAAGAAAACTCTAACTATTTAAACATGCATGAACATGTAATCTTGTAATGCCATACCAAACAATTATAACATAAATATAATGTAAGGTATACATATACATATCACACATCGTTTCCATCACAATTCTTACTATCATCTGTATCTTGTAATTATATCCTCTTATACCTAACCTTTTAATCAACATCTGATTCATTTAACCGAGCAATACATATATCATCCGATAAATCATACAATTAATATCACAAAACATATACAACACATGTTATTTATTTATTAGCCCATGTACACACGTGAGAACTGTAGATATGTGAGTCTATTGAGGTTGTGCATTATGCTGTCACCATATCTCGTATGGGGTCCCACTAGGGGCTATGAGATTTGTCCCGAAGGACCACTATGAAATATCCCAAAGGATCACTGTATGTCCGAAGGACCGCGTAGACCCTCGACTCTTGGCATGTCAACTATACCTATAGCTCTCGTATCATATAACATGGCATTATTATTTATTATTTCATATCTTCACATGTACTTATCACTGCTCATATGATTTCATATACATATATCACGTAACTTATAACACTTCTCTTATGTTGATATAACATGTATATCATTGCTATTTATTGTTCACATATGTTTTCTATAAATACCATAATACTCTTATATCCTTTTCCATATCATCATGTTCACATATACTATATACATTCATCATGTATCATATAAACTGTATTCACACATATCATTTAACATATGCAATAACCAATAACACACATGTATCATGTCAAACATATGCTCATATTAATGTGTTCATGCATTCTACTATAGGAAATAGACTTATCGCAAGTCTTACTTCCATTAAACATAACACACTATCTAATATGCACTCACCTTGTCCTCACTGATTACTAATTATTCCTATGACTTCCTTTCTTTCGATCGAATTCTAACTCGGTGATTGTTCCAAAGCTTGCTCGATTTCGGTATCTACATAATCATACATGGATCCATATCAATATAATAATTGATATATTATAAATTATCACTTCTTAGGCTAAAAAGAAAGTTATTTATCTTTTAATGAAGGTATGCATCGATGCACCACACCATGTATCGATACATTCCTTGATAGGTGCATCGATGCACTATCTATGCATCGGTGCATAAATCCCATTCGATGTTTGTATTTTAAGAAGGTGCATCGATGCACCCCTTATGCATCGATGCACTAATTGCATTCGATGTTTATCTATTTGAGAGTGCATCGATACACATTGAATGTGCATCGATGCACAACCCAGAAATTTATTTTAAACCCTAAAATAATCAATTCTTCACTCAATTCCTCTATTTTAAACCCCTATCATGTCATTAAACCCAACCATCACCACTTAAACCAACTTATATCCATGAAAATCATCTTTAACCTCAAAATCATATCCCTCATATATAATTCAAGAATCATACTCAAATTTCAATATGTTCTAAATACAATTCTAATACTTCATATTCCTTAATTAGCACGATGACAAGTCAAATTAAACTTCAAATTAAACTTATCAACTCTTTTCCATAAATTCATTTAAAAACCCATTTTCTTTAATCTCTTATAACTTCCTCACCTTGTGGCTTTAAAGCAAATTAAGCTTTCCATAAGCTTAATTAGCATCTAAGGATCAAAACCAGACTTAAATTTCAACTAACACACAACTTATGAGAAATCTCACCTTTGCTATGAGTCTTTACGTTGGGAGGAAAGAAGAGAATTCTGGAAGCTTAGATATTTGTTTCCTCTCATACACGTGGCCTCCATATATACCTAACCAAATTAATTATTTTCCTTGTAATTGACCATTTTGTCCTTCCATATTTCCTTCTTTAATATTTAAATCCTACACAACATTTTTCATATGATTCCCCCAAACTTTCAATTTATCCACTTTGACCAACAAATTCAGAAATATTTCAATTTAGTCACT